AATGGGATGGTAACATTGAACTAGTCATCTTTACCCATGGAGGCAGTTGGATTTGCTTTACATACTATAAAGTTGGATCATTCCATTCTCAGTAGCGCTGTGGGTCTCTCTGGAGACCTTTTCCCATCATCTCACAGACCAAATGTGCCAAACGTTTCTCCCATGACAAGAAGTAGCTTTTCTTTATTCCATCCTGGAACAGCCACTTTCTTTTACCCTATACAAATGCCATGTTCGGACGCTTTGAGTACTTACCAGTTGCTACAATTTCTATACCACATGCACTGAGGTGGCTTTTATCTTTGCCTTCTAACAAAACCCTCATCCGTCCTCTAGTAATTTCTCTCACTGTCCCGTCAACTCCTGCCAGTGACCTTGTTTGTGTTGCGCAAGGTAAACCCACCCTATTTATTTTACTATTATGTGGTAGGTGGCCATTTTGTTGCCAGCCCTGAGATTGGTATTAATTATTTAGACATTGGAAATATGCTTTTAGCTTCTTCTTTTCATAGCCAAACCATCATCTGATTAATAGTTGCTCTCTTCAGAGCACTCCACTGAAAAAGGTTTTGGGGAAGAGCTTATGCATTACTGTTATTAGTGGCCTTTGTGGTCTCTTATAAAGAGCCTCTGCTATGAGTGGGCCAAAATGGCTTCTGTTTTCAGCTTGCGAGGAATACGTATCATTTAACTGCCTGTCTTGCTTCCTATAGAATCTCTCTCTGTTTATTCCAGTCGGAAGACTGTTATTTTCAAGGGTGCCATTTAGGATGACTGGCAAGCAGTCCTTACCCAGCTCCGCTCCTAGCATTTTAAATCATTTATGAATATTTATCTGGGCCACCAGTAGTCTATGTCCTACCGCCCAAAGTAGCAAAGTTTGAAGCTTTCCTCCACCCTAAGGAGTCTCAGCATTTTGTGCTCAGTTTGCAGTTTTCCCACTTGAACTGGCCCTTGGAAGAAGAGAAGAAGAGATTGGATTTATAACCCACCTTTCACTACCCAAAGGTGTCTCAGAGCGGCTTACAAACTTCTTTCCCTTCCCCTCCCCACAACAGATACCCTGTGAGGTAGGTGGGCCTGAGAGAGCTCTTGACAGAAACTGCTCTTTTACAACAACAGCTCTTATCAGAACTACGGCTTGCCCAAGGTCGTCCAGCCAGGTGCAAATGGAGGAGTGGGGAATCAAACCGGGTTCTCCCAGATTAGAGTCCACACACTTAACCACTACACCAAACTGAGCCAATCTCCACACCATTGTTCATCCACTAAAATAGAAAAACCACCCAGGTCCCAGAGCCCTCAAGTGAATAGGGAAGTGCCGTATCAACCTTTATCATCAGCAAGTACTATGAAGCTTCTGTGTTAGATGTACCAGGAATTTGGCCTTCTGCCCTAGCTTGGCTGAGATTTACACTAAGGATTTGTCTTACACAAAGGGTTGGATCTTGTGGAGCCATTCCACTAGCGCCTCTTTCATCAGAGGAAGGCTCCACGTGAGGGAAACTCCAATCCGAGAGTTTGTATGAACATAACGTTTTCCAGTAACTAGCTGAGCTGCTGTTTTCTCTTGTTTTTGTGGTGCCACATCCTTACATTATTTTCCCCCAGTCAAGCCAGTTTCTGTACCCTTCTTGCTCATATTTTCCAGTTTAAATATAGTTCACAGTTGTTTTTCAGTTGTTATGAGCTGTCTTGGGGCTCCTGATATGATCCAAAAGGCAGCCAACGGATCATGGGTCCCCTTGAGAGCCAGTTTGGTGTAGTGGTTAGGAACGTGGACTCTAATCTGGGAGGACCATTCCCAGTGCCTCCACATGCAGCTGCTGGTGTGACCTTGGGTCAGTCACAAGTTCTATCAGAGCTGTTCTCTCAAGGGCAGTTCTCTCAGAGCTCTCCCAGCCCCACCTACCTCACGGGGTGCCTCTTGTGGGGAGGGGAAGGGAAAGGAGATTGTCAGCTGCTCTGAGACTCGTTCCGGTAATGAAAGGCGGGGTATAAATCCAACCTCTTCTTCTTCTCTCTCTTCTCTGTGGTGCCCACCAACAACCTACCTGGTGCCCACTAAGTGTTTGCAAAACATGGGTGGGGCCAGGTGGGGCTCTTGCCTAGCACAGCTTCTGGTTGGCCACTGGAGATCTGATTTGCTGTGCAGATTAAAATAACGTTTCGGTGGCAGCTGCCACCACAATGTTGGTTTCATTCTCTCTCTCTCTCCTCTTTTCCAGTGTATTTTAAAAGTTATTCCTCTTCTCTCCTACAGTTGGACCATCTGTGTGGGGGTGGGTGTGATCCTACCGCCCGCTGCGGCCATTTTGTGGTTGTGGCCACCACCGTTTGTCAGAATTCTAACGGTGCCTCCAGGCTCAGAAAGGGGCCCCTGCGTGTAGATCTAGTGAATAAATAGCTGTGATGTTTTTCTCCATAGCAAGAAGCTTTCCTCAATGCAAGAGGCCTTGTGCTAGAAGAAAACGCCACCGCTAATGGAATGGATTGACAGGATCCAACCCAGCGTATCCCGTTTTTTTGTTTTGCTGCTCCCCAAAATTGCCACTTAAGAATATTCTGTGTATATTTCCTCCCCACTGAACGTCAAACTAACTTCCCCAGCCTCGTCTGCTGTGGGCAACCACCCGGCTATCCTGGGGAGTGTGGATTGCATGGTGTTGTTAGCTAAATAAATATGCGGTGCCACTCGCCAGAGTAGTTGTGTTTAACTACAGACCATATTTCCTGGTGCTGCTATGATTTTGGCTTATTTGAGGACCTAAGTACATGTTACCACATGTAAGAGAAACCTGAAGGCTGTGTTTCCTAGAAGGAAGGACACAGTTTGGACTCTCCTAGAAGGAGACGGTTTGGAACAGGCAATTTGGACTCTCCTAGAAGGAGACGGTTTGGAACAGTCAGTTTGGACTCTCCTAGAAGGAGACGGTTTGGAACAGGCAACTTGGACTCTCCTAGAAGGAGACGGTTTGGAACAGGCAATTTGGACTCTCCTAGAAGGAGACGGTTTGGAACAGGCAATTTGGACTCTCCTAGAAGGAGACGGTTTGGAACAGGCAATTTGGACTCTCCTAGAAGGAGACGGTTTGGAACAGTCAGTTTGGACTCTCCTAGAAGGAGACAGTTTGGAACAGGCAATTTGGACTCTTTGTCCCTGTCGGGCACTTCTTCAGCCCAGATTGAGTCTCCTCAGTTGCTTTCCCCCCTTTTGGTTTGAAATGTATGTCAGTGAGGTATAGCTCTGCTATCAGACCACCTGAGTTTTTTGAGTGCTGTTTTGTATGATAAATAGAAATAATAAATATAGTAATATGTGGATATTATTATATTTGTTGTGGTTTTTTGTTGGTTTCTCATACTTCCCGGATGTACCTTTTTATTGTACTTTTTGCTACACTCGTGTTCAGAAGCAGTGAGGCTCTGAAATGCCAAAAATAAGGGGTAACCACGTTATCACCTTGAAGCTCTTGTGATCGCTCAGAGACTTTTGGCTGGCCACTCTCAGGAGCAGATTGCTGGGCTGGACAGGATATAGGTCTGATCCAGCAGGGGTCCTTTTGCTAGTACTGGTTTGAGAATTTAATCCACAGTTTACCCTTCTGAGAACTGGATTGCAAAGCAACTTGGGAGCTCTGTTCCCTGAGCTGCTGGAATGTTCACGATCATTCCTTTCCCAGCCCATCTGTATCATATGCTTCATTGCCACCAGGACAATACAATATAAATTCCATCCTCCGAGGTGAAAGTAGGTTAGCATTTGTTCTTTGATGTTTTCTTTGCCAAGCCTTATCTCTGATTAGCCCTTTTAATGTGCCAAGACCCTGTGATTATCTTGCCAAAGCGTCTGCACTATAAAACGATGCAGACTTGATGCTTCTGGCAAGCACATAATAAGGAGTTAATCAAAGACTTGTGCCGTGCATTGGCTTGCACGCATTAGCATGCATATGCTTGGGCACCAAGCCATCACTGGTAGATATCTGGAAGAGCTGCATTGATTCATGTATGTTTACACGAGTGTAAACAGTCAGTGATCCCAGTTCATTAGTAACTGCACATTCAAATCCATTTTACGGTTTGTAGGGTGATCTGTTTTATTCTGTTAAGTTACTCTGTTATGTGTCTAAATCTGTTCAGCCGTGTCCCATTCACTTGTAGTAGAGAGGTGAATTGCTGCACATGGGAATTTTGCTGCAGTCGGGGCAGATCCAAGCCTGTCATTGGGATCTTTCTGGGGATGCAATGGGGAGCCAGTTTGGTGTAGTGGTTAAGAGCACAGACTCATGTCTGGGAGAACTAGGTTTGTTTCCCTACTCTTCCACATGCAGCTGCTGGTGTGACCTTGGGTCAGTAGCAAGTTCTCTCAGAGCTGTTCTCTCAAGAGCAGTTCTCTCAGAGCTCTCTCAGGCCCACCAGCCTCACAGGGTGTCTGTTGTGGGGAGGGGAAGGGAAAGGGAATTTTAAGCTGCTCTTAGACTCCAAGTGAAGGGCGGGGTATAAATCCAATCTCCTCCTCATAAGAACATAGGAGAAGTCAATGTTGGATCAGGCCAATGGCCTATCTAGTCCAACACTGTCACACAGTGGCCAAAAATACCTGATGCCTTCAGGAGGTCCAGGCGGAGGTCCACCAGGAGGTGGTTGTCATCGTCGTTGTCCTCCTCCTCCTTCTTCTCCAAAATATGCATCCCTCCACCTGCGAGGTCCACCAGGAGGTGGTCGTCGTCATCGTTGTCCTCCTCCTCCTCCTTCTCCAAAATATGCATCCCTCCACCTGCTGGTCTAGAAGCGAGGAGAGCAGGCAGAACATGGATCTCCCCACCAGACATAAGTATCTGGAAAGGAGAGATTACCCTCTTTGAGAAACCTGACTCAGAAAAGGTCCCCTGATGGCCAGAATGCCAGAACAGAGGCGGAGCAGACTGACAGACAGCAGTACACTTCCTGTTCCCCTTTGAACGCCTCCATGCCGAGGTCTCCATAACTGCCCAAGAATGGACAGCAACCAGAAGGGTGCGGACAACTGGAAATGGGAAGTACTACTCAAAGTGCACAGAGAATTGGATCTCTGAAGCCACCCAGTAGGTGGACTGTGGCAGAGATATATTGCAAGTGGGAAGTTTCCAGCTCTGGCCATTGGTGTTCCCATTGGAGACGGAGGAACGGAAGCCACAAGAAATTAGGAACAGGCCACTGGGAACTCTCAGGGATGTGAATGCCCCATCTCCTGGGGTCTAAATCTGTTGTCCCACATCTATATACTAATAGCGAAGGCGCCCCCTGCGTGCGGATATCTAAATCCGCAAATCGGGGGCACCTGGGGGGCAGGTGTGCAGAAAAATATGAAAAGTTGGAAAAAATATTTAAATTACCTAAAAAGTAAAAATTAAAAGAGCGTTTCCTGCACATGCGCAGAGAACGATCTGGGAACTGGTGGGCCGGTGTCTGGAAGGCACTCAGGCCTCGCCGCCGGAGCCGCGGGGATGGGGGAAGGAGATCGGCGAGGCCCA